ACTCATGTGATACCTGTCCTGCATGTGTGTCATCTTCGTCGTGACCGTCGACTTGAGCTCATTCTCGAACTGAAGACTCTGCTTATGGTTCATGAATCGCGTCCAATAAAACATGAATCTCTCCAAACACTTCCGCGTTTCGCTGACACTGTCTTTCCTATCCTTGGCTTTGCTGTCGTTATACTTATTGCAGTTATAATAGGAGGTGCCATGCGTTGACCACCCGTCCAGACACACCCAACAGAACTCGTACTTGCATTTGACGGACCGACAGGTCATGTGATTGCATCCGCCGTTCTTCTCGATAGTGGTCCGGCATTTGGGACACTCCTTGGTGTTAGTGATGATCCAATTGGCGGTCTTTCCGTCGATCTTCTCGCCGTTACTTCCGGCGGACTTCACGTTCCACTCGCGCAGCAGTTGACAGCCGATGGGCTCGTGATTGTCTTCTCCACAGCCGAAGCAGATCTGTTTACCGCAGACGCACACCACGGGATGCGACTCTTTGGTCTGAACGCTAAACGCGTGCAAACAGTCCGGACGGGGACACCATCTCAGCAGCCGATTGGACGACACGTAGGAGTCGGTGTTCAAGCGTTGGTATTTGGCTCTCACCGTCTCGTCGGTGATCAGTTGCAGCACCTGCTCCTCGTCGACCACCACTTTGCAGTCGGTGTCCGGACAGGTGATGGCCATCACGTCGCCCTCAGACATGATTTTAGTGGTCAAGTATTGCGTCCAACACTTGACGCAAAAGAGGTGATCGCAGTCTAAGCCAAACAAGTCGTGGGGTTTGATGTCATCGGAATAGCAGATGAAACACACGCTCTTCGCATAGCACCGTCTTTTGCTTTCGTTGCCATTGGGTGTCGTCCTCTCCGTCCTGTTGGACACGATCCCAATGTCGGCGAAGAGCTGTTCCTGATTGCCATCGAACAGCCGTTCCAACAGTTTCTGTGTATCCCATTTGAAATGCTTGAGAAGTGTGCGGATTGTGGCCGAAGACAACTGTATGACGGCTTTGATCTCTTCGATGCAACCGTGCATTTGCTTCTGTATCTCATCGATGGTCAGCACTTTGTACACAAACTCCTGAGCGAACCTCGGCTTCGCCTCTTCCGTACTGAGACTCATCTCGATGTCTGAATCGCATATTATATCGTCGTTGTCATCGCTGTCGTGGTTGGGGTCCGACATCCCGGTCGCCAATCAGTGATTGATTCAAATCTAATGAATTTTCGGTGAAATGAACGGAATTTCTCTTTTCAACGCTTTTCGTAGAAATTCTTTAACAGAAAACCCATTATCTCTAAAACCACTGAAGAATATATCAATGGTTTCACTCAAATTCTGGTATATTTTGAGCTATTCTTTGGTTATTTATAATTCAAATCTTATACTAAATAAACGAAAACTGAATTTCTTTTAGAAAAGAGTTTTATTTACGAATAAATCATTTGAAACATAATTTTGATAAAAGTCTTTGGGTTTGAAGCCTTGATGAAGAGGGAACGACACTTCACTCCTCTCCTCCGGAGTGCGATCTCCTTCTCCTTCTTCGTCG